GATGTATTTTTTTTTACATGTATGTATGTATGTATGTATGTATGTATGTATTTACATGTATTCCAAGTTTACACTCTTTCAGTTGGTTTGCAGCTGGTGTCAATTTTAAAATGTTTTTAATCGTGGACAAAACTAAAATATTTTGGAATAGATTTGACAAAATAAATCATACTTTATATAGTAGAAATATATATATTTTTTTAAGCCTTTACCCCCTGTGAATTGCACATACAACAAAAATCCATGAACGTGCATGTACGTACGTGCTCACTGCGCATTATAAATGTTTGATGTGTCTGTTTTCAGTTCGCTTGACTGGAATTACGCTGGCTGATGACGCTATATCGCCACTGCACTCCAGGAATTTATTAAAGAAAATAAAACCTTTCTCTTGCTGGAGGCAGCAATTAGATGTAATCAGAGAACTAACTCTGTGTGCTTCTTTTTTTTAATTCTACCCTTGGAGATTATAAACTTCAGAATTGACTTGAGAGTGTGGGCTGTTCTTCTTAGGTTTCAAATTACAGTTGCTCGTAGCATTATTTCCTAAAATCTACATGGTCTTTGTGGGGCTGTTTTTGTCTGTCTGGTGTGCAGAAATTTGTTGCATTTCTGCTGATTGGCAGGATGATCTGAGAGAAAACAAAATTGGACATATCACACTTTATTATTTTCCAGTTCACTCTTTCAAAATGACACTACAGGAGTAAAAAGAAATTGTTTTCTAGGAAATGACTGCACATAAAATGTTTATAAGTAAAGAAATACATGCATATTAACAATGAGTTACGTTATCACTAAATGGCACAACTAATTTGAAAAGTCATTCATAGTTTGAACTCTGTGATCTTAAATTTCTTCAGGAAAAAAGCAGTATTGAAATGTTTCAGGATGAAATATTTTTCCAAATACCAAACACAGTTTTGCATGTTGTAAACAATTTTCACCAAAACATTTAGTAAGCCATTTTAAGACATGTTAATATTGTCATTTCTGGCTATAGTCAAGTGAAGTACATTCTTCAGTAAATGATAAGTTGGATTTTCCAACAGAAATTGTTTGCCCTGATGCATAACCAAGAGGCTTGTTTTGTTGAGTGCATCACACCATAGCTTGTTTGATTAAATGTTTCACTTTTTACTTGCAGTTGGACCGTGATCTCAATGAGTTCAAGCTCCATGCAATTATGTCAGAGCACAAGAAGACAGTCACCGCCATACGCTGGCATCCCACTAATCCCGACCTCTTCGCCAGCGCTGGTTGTGATTGCCGTCTCTATCTTTGGGATGTGGCGCGCCAGTGCACGGTGGCCACAATGGAGTACACCAAGTGCATGCCCAAGTGCCTGGATTGGTGCCTGCTGGAGTGTGAGGTGCTGACCTTCATCCAGGGCCGGGGCCCGCTCATGATGTGGCAGTTTCACCAGGGGGCAGAGCTTTCCCCCCACCGTGAGGCCCAGGGCTTTGCCTCAGATGTGTGCAAGTTTCGCTGGCACCACAAGAACATCGGAAAGGCTGTGTTTGGCCATGCAGATGGTAGCCTGTCATTTCTATATGCTGGTAAGTACACCAGCTTTCCTTCCTTGTTTTCAACCTTTTGTTCGTGTCTGTAAACTTGAGTTTTTTACTTTCCATCAATCAGTAGTCATTCACGCCCCAAGGACAATAACAGGCTGAACAGTTGATGCAAATAAAGTACATTGTAAGCTTGGAAAGTTTGTAATGACCTATATGTATAGAAATGATTTCATTCATCATCTTAGAATAGCAGGTTTTCTTCATCCTACAGTTTTGATGCAATTACAGAAACAAATCACAGCATGCTCAAATCAAATAAACTTTTTACAAGATTGCCCCATTTAAAATTTGCATTGCTCAGGTTGATAAATCACAACCACATGTAATGGGTGTGTGTTTGTAATGTTTCTGCACAGAAATACTGCCATTCAGATTCAAAGAGGCTGGACTCAGTATTATTCTTGGATATTATCTTTGAATTTTCCTTCTATAGGTGGTAAAATATACAGGCATGTTGTGAAGTTGGAGTCAACCAACAGTTCAGAGGAAGATGACCCCGTGATTGATTTGGAGTGGGATCCCTTGTCAGATGACTACCTCCTGGTGGCCAATCGCCACCTCGGCGTGCGGCTGATCGACGGCACCTCGCGGGTGGCATTCATGAAGTTTGAGCTGCCAAGTGCCATGGCAACGGTCAAGACTCTGGCGTGGGTGCCTTCTGCACCGGGCATGTTCGTAACGGGAGGTGTGCAGTTACCGGCCAGAATTTCATGCAACTTATATTACTAATGGCTGGTTCTCATCTAATAAGCCATTTGCGAGTTAAATTTGAATAAAGTCTGGTACACTGAGTTCTTTAAATTCACGTGAACATAACAATTTGAATTCTCCATACTAAAACCATTGTTATTATACCTCGTAAAATTTGGGGCAAGCTGTTCCTTAGTGACATAAGAGACGCCTTGCAACAATTCACTGTTCTCAATGGATGATAATGGCACAAAGGAACCAGCCCATTCCAGAGATGGTGGTCGCTATGCAAAAGCTTGCCCCGAATCACAAGGTAAAGCAACGGTGTCTTTAGTCTGGGGAATTCAAATTGTTATGTTTCTGTGCAATCAGGTAACACAGTGTACCAGATTTTATTCAAATTTCACTCGCATGTTGCTTATTGCCCATCCTGAAAAGGTTGAAGCTTGACCCGCATGTGCTTGCATCTATCATGTACGGCATATCTTTGCGGGGGACGTCCCCCTCGATTAGAAATTTTGAAATGTTTCCAGGCTCTGTTCAAGAGCCACAGATCATTTGCTTTCATTGCCCCCTTTAAAAAATGTGTTCAACGCTGGATGCCCCCCTCCCCTCCCTGCGAGAAATATCTTAGTTATGTCACTGCTTGTGCTGTCTTTAAAGATTGATCACCTAACGTGTCACTTTTCTTTCTTTCTCCAATCAGATACAAGTTCAGGAGTTCTCCGACTATGGGGTGTCTCAAAATCGACGCCCATCCTGAGCCTCGGTCTCAAGAAGATGGGCTTCCACGCCCTCAAAGTGTTCAGCACCTCCCCCAGCGTCGCCTCCACCAAGCAGTCGGACACCCCCCTCCACCGGGACATTTCCTCCACCAGCCAGGCCTCCCCGCCGCCCAGTGCAAACACCCTGAACTCATACCGGTTGCCGCCAGGCCATGCAGTCTGTACATTCCTGGACGGGGGTGTAGGGCTGTACGACTTCGGGAAGAGGAGGTGGGATTTTCTCAGGGAGCTGGTAAGGGAACTGCTGCCACTTTGTCGGAGGATCTTCAAAATTGCAATTCATCAAACAGTTTATTACCATTTTTACAAAGTAGCAGGGAGGATGTTGTAATAATGGAATACTCAATTAGCATTATATTACTAGATGGTCATATGTATACATAAATGTACCGTACATGTAGCTGCTTCATAGGTACTGTGCTTCATCCAAGGCCGCATGTTGAAATGTGCTATTCAGTCAATAAGAATACGCTTCATCAGACAGGGAGTAAACCTTTGCATAATGCGGTTATTTCAAGATGGATAAACATTAACCATTGATCGTTTGTACAAGCAATATTCTCTTACAACCAGGAGTATTGAGAGTGGCACACAAATGCCGCCATTGAGACTGTCGTCTCCTGCGCCAGTCAGACATTATTTTAATAGGTGCGTTCAAAATAATTTCTGGTGAAGTTCGCCAGCGGATATCGCTCATTTATTGATGGAATTTTATAACGTTTTTCATTGTGTTTCCTCTTTAGGGTCATGTTGAAACTATCTTTGATTGCAAGTTCAAACCGGATGATGCCAATCTCATTGCCACTGCATCATTTGATGGTACCATGAAAGTGTGGGACATCAACACACTCACTGCTGTCCAAACATCACCTGGGAATGAAGGGGTCATCTATTGCTTATCGTGGGCACCAGGTAAGGTCGTAGCTCAAGAAGCTAGCGTCAAAGGTCACAGTTTTTTTGTTGGTAATTTTTCTAATCCCTACAAAAAAATCTGCTCTTAAAAATATTGAAAATGTATAGTAATTGCCTTTTGGTTTACTTGACTGTTCAGGAAAGGAAATTGAATTATGAGCTTATTAAGATATTTCCTTTTTTCAGCTGATCTGAACTGTATTGTGGCAGCAACTTCTAAAAATGGAGCCTTCATTTGGGACCTGACAAGAGGGCGCATTATTAAGAGATTCTTGGAGGTTGGTAAAAAAACTTCTAATCCAAGAAAATATATAACGTTTTTTTCCCTCTGATTGTTATGTTCATATTTCAGAACTTTGTAAAATGTCAACACTCTCCTGGGTTCTAGTCTTTTGCTTGAATTGAGAAAACAAATTTAATTTGTGCACCCTGCCAATTTGTCAAAGTTTTTTCATTCTTTTTACGTCGAAAGACCCGTTAGGGCAAAGATCAAAACTATTTCTCCCATTCCAACAGGCTCAGCCGCCTTCCTCCCATTCTGCACGGGGATTAAATAAATCCAACAATAGGCCTGTTCTCCCACAGTAAAACCTCCCAGCTTAGGCGAGCGCCAAGGGAAGGACTAGAGTTCATTAGAAGCTCCATTCTGTGTGTCCTTTGTGATGTTAATTACCCATCCCCTCCGGTGAGCATGCACGTCTGCAATAGCAGAAGTGTGCAAAACATGGCAAGTTATGACACATACATAGCATGTACAAGGCTGGTGAAAGCATACGCCAACGACTGCAATAGCAGAAGTGTGCAAAACATGGCAAGTTATGACACATACATAGCATGTACAAGGCTGGTGAAAGCATACACCAACGTCTGCAATAGCAGAAGTGTGCAAAACATGGCAAGTTTTGACACATACATAGCATGTACAAGGCTGGTGAAAGCATACGCCAACACAAAATTTTATGTGCAGGGCAATTTTTCGTTTTTGTACACAGTTCAACTCTGGCAAATTCCACAGTGAAGGCCTCATGATATCAGATTCACATGGTGTATAAACATGTCTTGCAACTATGGGAAAGTGGAATATGGCACCGTAATAAGTTTCAGAAAGTAAGCAGCGGCTTATGTGTTGAATCTGACATGTCCCTGCAGCTTATACCAACGATCCTACAGCACTGCGAACCTAAATGCTCTAAATCAGTCTAAAGTGAAAAATTCAGTATTGTAACCGCGTCTTGTGTACCGTACCACCAAAACTGTGCACTTTTTGTGACAATTCTTTCGTGTTCGTTTCTTTCGGCGCACACTGCAGAGAGACTCACAGAGCACCTTGCCTTGCTCTCATGCTTGGCTTGGGCCAGCCAGCCCAGGGATTTCCTGTTTGGCCACATGATCATTCCTTTTTAATTGCTTGAGGGCACACCATTTTGCATTTCAAAATGTTTGAGCATAACAATATATCATCATAAAATATTTGTGTATTTCTGTTTGGCTTTTTGTTCCCTCGCCTTTCCTTTTTTACACTTTTTAAAATTTGAGCGAGATTTAGCATGCTCATTCCCAGCACCGCCACGGGAATGCATGTCCATTATACACATGGGCTGTGATTGGACAGTCAGCATGTGAGGGGCTTGTGAGGGCAGGCAGCAGCCAGTGTAGCCGCGGCACGCACAAAGCTTCCCTCAGTTTGGTCACATAGCCACTAGAAAGAACCAACGATTGGACTGCAGGTGGGCCGCGGTAGCAATCAGGCGTGCTTGAAAGCCAGGAGTCAGAGGCAGCATGTTTGGAGAATTGAAAATGTGAACATCTCATAATTCGCAAAGGTTGTCTCATGGTACCTTGTTTTCATTTTGCTTAGTCTCAAATGTCCCCACCTTTTTTACGAATTCTTGCTACGATCATTTTACAAGCGTGGGGTAGTGCATGTAGTTCTTTCCAGCCATTTGAAGAAGTTTCTTCCGTGATGCTTCCAGATCATGTGCAGATAAATTTTGCAGTTTAAAGAATAATCACTGCATTTGATACAACAATGACAGAATGTCAAAGAATTTGTGTGCCTAACTAGGCCTCATTAACATCGCATTGTGTAGCCTGCACGTGCTGGCCTGGCCCAGCTACACAACGCATTTACAGCATTATTCGAGCAGCCTCCTTTAGCGATCGCAAGCCTACAGTAAAAGGGTCAGCGTTGATTGTGCGTTCTTTCCAACCAATTACATGTAATTGTTTCACATCGAAAAGTGTGTTTATTATTTTTAACAAACAATTATCATAAAGTCAAATTTAGTGAAGTCATGGCAAGTTGAAAATCCTGTTCCTTCAAGTCAAGTCCGAAGTCATTTTTTCCAAGTCAAGTCTCAAGTAAACATCGAAAAACAAAAAATAGTTACTCAAGTCTGAATCACCAACTCGAGTCAACACCAAAAAATCCATCAAATTCAATTTGAGAACAAGTTTCACAATAAATGCACATGCAACTCTACTTTCTAGACTTTTTGATTTTGTTGATCGTGAGTAAGGTAAAAATCTCAACTCATCTGCCAACTACATGTATACATCATCTGCGAGAGATAAAGGCCTATCGTAACCATTTTCCAAGACTCCCTTGGGCCCGCGTTTCTTTAATGGGATATTAAATGTGAGGTTCCCATTCCCCGTCATCATTCGCCACACAAATCTATTGTATTATAATCAGCAGGGTATCAAGCATGACTGTTTCTTTGAGCTATTGTTATGCAGTTTCGGGCATGATCCTGCATTCTGAACAGGGTCGGTGCGAAAACAGGATTATGGGGGATTTAGAACAATGGGCCCATTCCTCCTGTGCGCTCACATCGGAATGGGTAAAATGCTTTTGATCCTTGCCTTTATATCATCTTTGTAATATTGTTAAACTTTCTTGAATTTCAGCACGGTAAAAACAGCGTGTACTCAGTGGCATGGAACCAGAAAGACCCCAAGAGAATAGCTTCATGTGGAGGGGACCACTATTGGTAGGTTTACTGGATGTTTCTCTGTTTGTCTCTCTATTATATATCAGTTCTTGATGTAGGGTTACCACTTAAGTCTTCCTTACCATTGTTCAACAACGTTAATTTCTTTATGACATTGGTTGTTACCAAAAGAAATTTGTTTTGAACTCAAATCGGCTTGAAGTAGGAACCAGCCATAGTTCTGTATTTTACGTTTTACCTGCTCATTTCTGTTTAGAATTCTGTAATGCTGATTTCTAATGTTTGAATTTGAGTACGATCAGCATATCAGTGAGTCTCGAGTATGATACCGTCGAATGAGCTGATATCTTCCTTTACATTCTTTCACCTTGGAGGAGGATTGAGTTCCTGCAGCAGTGGAAAAAGTGAATGTCAGTGTGGGGCAGTAGGCCATGATTTTGTTTAAATTGTAATCGTACTCTTGCTCTGTCTATCAGATAGGGACCCTGCACCACACTTTCAAAGTCTATAATGGAGAGACCAGGAAGTATGACATAAATATCCTCAAGACTCATTATGTACGGTCTGCTTGACATTTTTGTTGACAGTACTTGCTTTGTATTTCCTAGCATTGTCCGGGAGGCTGATGGCAAGTTGCTACAGAAGTACAGACATCCAGCATCTGTGTTTGGCTGCGACTGGAGCCCGAACAACAAGTCAGTCTATACTCGGATTCACTTGAGCAATCTTTGGGTAGTCTCAAAAGTGTAACACGCCACACTGGAGCCTGCAAAACATGGCTGAGTGCCAAAAACGTTTAGTCACAAAGTTGAGTGGTACAGTACACATTGCGTGGCAGTGGTCCGTTGACTAGACCAATATAGTCTGGGACTTACAGGCTAGATTTTCTTCAAGCTGATACATGGTTTCCTGATACTGACAGGCCTATTCTTTCTGTCTAAAAGAACATCTTTGTCCAACAAGTTTTCCATCAGAGACATTATTGTGATATCGAACATGTATCCCATTTCTAGAGACATGATCGCCACCGGGTGTGACGATGGCAAAGTCCGGGTCTTCTACATTGCCACGGCAACGGATCAACCCTTAAAGGCGTTTCTAGGCCATGTGGCCAAAGTGTTCAATGTGAAGTGGTCGCCACTAAGAGAGGGTATTCTGTGCAGTGGATCAGATGATGGGTAAAGATTGTAGTCTTATTTGAAGTTCCTCTCGTAATCTGTGGTTCTGTAATGGGAAAGGGATTTAAGGTCTGAAATTATACTTGAATAACTTTTGTGACTTGTTGTCTGCTTTATATAGCTTGACCACTCTTCAACCCTTGCTCAATGGGTGTAACTTTCTTCTTGCTACCAAGGTAGCCATTAACCTCCATTTGGATTGGACGGAAGCTTAGTTATAAAGATTTAAAATGGAAGGGTTTGAATGTACACGATAGAAAGGGAAAGGGGTGCTAATTTGAATATTGCAGGACTGCTTAAATTGCAGTATTGTCATTTCTTGGAATGGACATACTCACTGGGGCTGTTGTCACGTTCAGCACAGGTCCAATCACAAGTCCTTTCATAAGTCAGTCCCAAAACCCCCTCGCAAGGAACAGAATTACATTTAGTAATGGTAAAGAATGATTTTGTCGCAGTACATTTAAATAGCTTTTGACTTGATGTAAGACTGCATTACTTGCGATGGACTTGTAGGGACTTTTGATGGACTTGTTTCGGCTTTCAGAAAACTATAGAAGCATTGTGGATTATCAAGAAAATTAAGAATGAAGACCTTAGTGCACAGTTGCCCTTGATGTCTCTTATTTTTGTTTCATGTCAGGACGATACGGGTTTGGGATTACACTCAGGACAGCTGCATCATAGTTCTGGAGGGACACAGGGCACCAGTCAGAGGCCTGCTCTGGAACCCAGAGGTCCCTTACTTATTAATATCAGGAAGCTGGGATTACACCATCAGAGTCTGGGATACAAGGTGGGTGCCAGACTACTGATTGCTATACCGGATTGTATTATTGAAAAGATGGACTTAAGTACATTCACCCTAACCAATGAAGGCTTTTCCTTTTCTTTACTTTTATCACAATCACATGTCAGGATGCAAGAATTGGTTGGGTTAATATAATAAAGTGATAACTTAGCAGTTCCAGATTATACATGTTGACCGTCATTCTCTGTTTTCTCTCCGAAGGGACGGAGCCTGCCTTGACAACATCTTAGACCATGGTGCTGACGTCTACGGCCTGACATCCCACCCCAACCAGCCATTTGTTCTGGCATCTTGCTCGCGAGACTCCACCCTGAGGATTTGGTCCCTGGCCCCACTGGTCACTACGCTGCAGCTCAGCATCATCGCCAGGAGACCACTGGAGGAGATCATCGGCACAGCAGGTAGGCATAGTAGGCACAGAGGAGAAATTCCTTGCAAAACGAGCAGTGCAAAATCCAGACTGCATTGTTGTGTATATTTTTATACCCCTGTAGCAAAGCTAGAACATCATGATGATAAAAACAATAAAGATGGTGTTTTCTAGGGATAGTGATGGCGTTCGTGATCACAAATTGCAGTTGTGGGTTTAGGCATGGGCTTGGCCGGGCATTTTACGTTCGTCAACACATTGTTCTTGTTTCATAGATACCTTTCCGATAATCAATTTATGAAAAGCTTACAGTGTGAAAATTGAAATTGGGCACATTCCTTAAACACTTAATAAGATTTGATTGGAGAGCATCTTGGAACTTTTTTGTTCTGTTTTCTTTTGAAATGTTACTGTACGCCTGCTTTGAACTGTGTTGAGTTTGGTGTGTTTGTTGAACTGTAACATCTGTAGGTCAAGCATCTGAGAACTGCAAGACCTTAGAGTGGACTCTTGAGGAATTTTCGTTAGTTTAGTTTTCTTAATTCCCTCAAAAATCAAAAAAATTGATTTTTTTTTTAGTTTTGAAAAGTAGATAACTTTATTTTTTGTTAGATTTCTTCACCTGAATTGCTTTTTGCTCTTGGTCTCTTTTAATGAGAGCCATCAAAGGTAATTTTTTAAATGCCTCTTTAAGCCTGCTAGCAGATTTTATGTCATGATCTGGGTTTTTTTCTAGAGCATTCCATGGCAATGAATACATCAACGGTCATGGCGGGCCGCATGTCACGGGAACTCAAGCAGAAGTTAGAGCAGTACAGGGGAGATCTTGACAACAGCATGGCCTTACGCTGGTTCTCACATCTTTTCTCAGTGAGTCATTTTTTTTAGTTAGTCAGATTTTGAAAGTTTTCTGAAATTGAAGTTTTCAAATGTTAGCTGTACACATGTACATTGTTTTCCATGCTACTACAAATGTGTTTATTGGTTTTATGAGTTTTGGTTCACAATGTCATCTTGGATTAACTTCATCTGACCGCAGCATGCTCACAAGTACTGTAGCTAGGTAGGGAGGATGTTTACCCTAGTTTTCTAAGGATTATGGGCTCTAGTCCCACTGAAGCAAGCCTGTTGAATTTTCTCCAAAGCCCTTAGCATGTAGTATACATACATGTACATCTAGGTTGCATGTCACTGCTTTACGGGGCAAAACCATGAATTAAACAAAATACTTCACCCCAAATCAATAATTTTATCAGATGTGATCCACCATTCCAAAAGCAGACTTCCAAATTCTGTGGAATAAAATGTCTGAAAAATTTCACCAGTTTAAAATATACACATGGACAATGCTCCACAACACTCGTTGCCCTTATTATAAAACTGCCCAGCTTTTTCCTTGCAATCTTTTTTTATTTTGATAATTTCGACGTATGGATGTCAACAGTGGGAGAGAGATATATTGTCAAATGTCAAGATTACTTCAGTGTGGTTTTGGGGAAGCATTTAGTCAGAAATAAGCTGAAGAGGTTTTACCTGCCTGATTAGTTTGACACACTGATGCCATGGTTTGGTTTGCTGCAACTCTGAGTGATAAAATGCCAGAATGAAGACAATGTATGTCTGAAAAAAATCAATCCCAACCAAGTCCTACCTCTTGCAGTGTGTATAAAGGCTTAACATACCCTAGAGGGATAAATGGTTCCAAGAATGCTAAGTGACAAAGAGGTTGGGCTCGTAACAAGTTGAGAGCATTTTTCCTGTTTCATTCTGGCCACAGCCGCCCGGGGGTTCCCGAATCTTGTGGGAGTTGGTGTCTATCCTCAACGGTCAAGATGACAGCCTGCTGCCTGATGACTACAGCAAAGGAATCATGCATGCAAAGCACCTGGTCAAATTTAAAGCCGTGAGTCGCTCTAAATCTTTGGAATGCCATTTTTAGGTGAAAAATGCTGACACACGATTAGCCACCACTATTTAAGAGGAAGTTTAGGGCAGAGTTGGATCGGCAGCCATTTTACGACCACTATTCAGGATCAGAAATATCATGTCTTGAGTACAAGGCAGAATTGACCAGTTGTTGACTAACTGATGGAACTAGATATAAAATGAATCCCACTACATGCTTACGTTTGTTTGACTTTGCACTTACCTTTTGCCTTCAACCTTTCTGCAGTGGTGTGATTTCTCCCTGCCTTTCTCACCCCAAAATTGTTGATTTTTTTTTAGAGATTTAGTTAATCATGTTTTGCCTCATTTTAGCACTTTGCAAACAAAAAGTCCAAGTGCAACATTGACTGAGGCATTGTCATGTGAGAAAACTTGTGTCTTTTTAGGTAAAAAGACCTGAAAAGTCTCTGTACTTTGTTGTCATCTGTGCAACCCCTCTACTGGATTTTATGTGGATTCTTCTACCTCCCCTAATCTCATCCCTGTCTCCCGTGGCCCACAGTCAGAAGCCCAGGAGTTAGAGATGGCCAGGATGGCACGGCCTTGCTCCACGATGACCAGTGCCAAGGGACGGGAGGAGAAACTGCGAGAGGCTGCCAGTATCCACATCCGATTGGGCCAGGTCCATCGATACTGCGAACTCATGGTGGAAATTCACGAGGTGGATTTGTTGGATGTTTCCAGTAGACTTTAGACCTCTGCTATCAAAGCGGATATTTGTGCTAAGCAAAAACCAGTCGTGAACCAGTTAGCAGTGCACCTCATGTGACAGTTTAGATGGTGACCGGTTTTCACAAAATCTTTACTGTGCATTGCCGCAAACTTAAATTTGTCCTGATTATTCTCATCCAAAGTACCTTGAAAGAGGTGATTCATAGTTTGTCAGAAATTGTTGGCTGTCCCCGTCAGCAAAAGCTCCAAGTAACTAAATGGACATTGATTGGAACTGTCATTTGTAAAGCTTTTGGTTTGTGCCCCAAAATTGATATACATGTATTTTATTCACTTGTGCATGTACATGCAACCCCATGCAGCATGGGTATAAATCTGGGGGGAAGGGTACACCCTACATCTCCCCCACACAATCAAACTTTTTAGGTGGGTGGATGGGTTATTGAATCATCCTCCCCACACACACACACAAAAGTGTGTATTTGCCTGCAACTGGGGACCCCCTATTGTTCCTCTTTTGTTTGTACTTTAACCTTTTGAGAAGACCACCCATACATGTATGTTTTGTACACAGTTGTCAATCGGGGACCCTCTGTCAATCGGGGACCTTATTGTCCTCTATTGTTCAGGGTCCCCAATTGAATGCAGAAACAAACTCACACAGACTTTTGGGGGGTGAGCAAAAAAAAGAAAGAGGATGGTGAAGAATTTTTCGGACTCCCAACAACTAAAATGCATTCAGTATCACTCAAAAAAGGGAGGATAATTAAAAAAGCCCTAAATATGTCATTCTAAATGTAACAACCTCATAGAGTATCATTGTGTCACCCCCTTCCCCACTTTTCACATTTTCATGTTATCCCCCCCACCACCTTTTCCCATCTCCCACCCCCCCAATTCCCAGCACAGATTTACGCCACTGCCATGCAGTGTTATGTAGAATGTAGGGGGGTGTGGCAAAGATTTTTAGCTGTGGACTGCAAAGCTGATCCGAGAGGCTTAACACCAAGAAATTAGAATGATTTCAGTGGATACCATTTTGGTGCAAGATATCTATTTCACCATTGGAAAGTGACGATTGTACTGTCCATCTTGTCATTTTAGGGAGGAAATGAATGTCAAATGTTTACTCCTCTGAAGTGATTGCATCCCGACATTAAGAGTCCCATACATTTTGTATCAGAATCTGAAAGCTGGATATACTCTAATTTGCTCGGTATTTTTCTTTCTTTTGTTTTTAGTGGGAGAAAGCCTTATCTATTGCCCCTGCTGTGTCTATGGATTACTGGAGAAAGCTCTCGGAAAGGTGAATGAAGTGGAAGATATTGCACCATCTAAAACCGTTTTACTTTTAGCAAACCTAATGAAGATGTAGAGTTGTTTGACTTTAATCAGTTTGGTTAAATCATTGATTCTCCACTGTGAATGGTAATTTACAGTTTGCAAGCCCTTGATGATTAAACAGTGATTTGGGTAATATCGCTTATTAAGAAAGCTTTTGTAGATTATTCTCAACAGGGCTGTTGGATCTAGTGGGATATTCTTGTTGCAAAAGTATTCTCTAGGTTTGGATAAAAACCTCATTTTAATTACTCTCTTAAATGGGCTGTTTTCTTAAGTGCGTCGTACCCATTGTGTCATTTCTTAGATTAGTCATGTAAATCTTTGTAGAAAAAGCATACATTTTGAATCTTTCTTTGCAAAAATTCTTGAGAATTTCTTCCACATCAGGAAAAGTTTGAGACAACAATTTATAGTCATTGAAGTTAGAGAGAAAACCTTCCACCCCTACCTTCATTCATTTTCTTGTATTCAGATATGCAAATTTCCTGGCCTCCGAGAGCAGTAACGATTGTGTGCCTTATTACATTGCTACGGGAAATATCCAAAAACTGGTGGACTTCTTCAGCCGACATAACCAGCTGAAAGATGCCATGCTGGTGGCGCAAGTCGCATGTGAGGAAGGCATTGAACCCGCAACAGAGCGTGTCCAACCCAGTGTACCCAGCGTGGACCAGAACGGCCTGCAGGAACAATCAGAGGAGAACGTCCGGTGCCTAAACGACGTGAGCTGCAATCTGGCCAAGCTGTACTTTCAGGATGGCCACCCTATCATGGCTGCATGCTGCCATATGGCCGTGGGAAACACAAGGGTAAGTGTAGGGTCAAGCAAACCACTAATGTTGTTATTTCAGTGTCACCACCATCTGGGCCAGATGATATTGTGGGGCAGATCATAGTGTGATAATAACGGACATCAGAGGAAATAACTCGTTTGACCATCAGTTTCAGTCCGTAACTGACCCATACTGATTTTTTTCCATAAAGACATTTAGACAAAATGCCAGTTTCCATGAAAAAGACCAATAAAATTGGGAGTAAAGTTTGCACATTTTGAAAGGTTCAAGAAAATAAGGAGTTCTCATTCTTTCCACCCATCATTGACATGATTGCAAAAAAAAAAAAGAAAAATGCCCATTCTCCCTCCAACCACCTGATCTTTTTGGCAGACTATGCAGTTGTTGAAGCACAGTATCAAACGGTAGGAATCGCTGTGAGTTGCTTTATTCTTCTTTGTTTTAGTACGCCCTCTCGAAACTGATTCGTGGCCATGAGCTAGAGCTAGCCATAAGTGTTGGCAGGGCACTAGAGGGCAGCAGACACCCAGATCTGATCTCCATGGCAGCACAATACCTCACTCTGCGCTGCCAGAGGATGGACAAATGGTGAGGGATGGTCATTATCTTTGTGCTTGTCAGTCTGATGGTCACTTCCCCACAGATGCTTTTGTCTAAGTTCCCTTTGGCAGGAGATTCCTTTTGCGTAGTAATAAAGTTACCACAGCCCTTGTAACTAGTGACACGCAGTCTGTGTACAGACAAATCTGGTGACCATGATAATTCTATCACAGCTCATTTGCAGCCGCCCTCACCAGTGGCAGTAAACTTCGTAATAACTATTGTAGAGAGCCACTGGTCAGTCACAATACCTCCGCACAAATCCCCACACAGTCGTTTCCACCGTTAAAAGGAGACCATCAGAAATGGCCAGTGAAACACTGCTGGAAGTAAGATTTGTTCAGTCCTAGATTTGAAATGTTAATCATGGTATAGACTAATCTGAGGAGATGCCGTTACTGCAATAGCACCCAGCAATATGTAGTTGAAATCATCACAGGGCCAGCGAGAAGACCCATCACAGACACAATGTTTATTCACCAGACCAATTACAAGTAACAAGGTGAACAACCACAAAGGAATGCTGTAGGTGCGGTTCATTAGAATAACTTATACCTTAAATCTAGACTGGTAGTCTTTTTGTGGTCTTGTGATGGTTATATGGGGTCTTGTGATGGTCTTTAAGGAGTCCCGAGGACAAAATCGGTACAACCACATTCATTGGCCTTTTTAAATATAGAAGCCAGTATATGCGCGTTGGTAACTTCCACTGTCCTGTTGGTTGAAGGGGTATGTGACTCGTACGTACTTCCTGCAGGCAAGCTTGGTACCACTTTAGCTGGTAGTTCTCATCATCGATTTAGTTTTTACACAGCCACATTAGACAGCCACGAGAGTTCTCTTGGGTGTAATGATGCAAGGAATATTTATGTTTCTAAGTGGACGTTTCAATGGTATGTGTTGTGAGAGAGCCTTGAGGTTTTAGTGGAAGATGCTCTCAGTCACAGAAATAATGTTTTGGATTTTAGAAGAATGGTGATTTGTTCATTTCCTGTGTTGTCAGGGACCTTGGTCTGGACATACTGAACACACTCCCCGACCACGAAGGCTCGATGGTCAACTTGTGTGCGCGTTGCGTGTCGTGCAGCACAGAGGTCAACTTCCTCCACCAAAAGGTACAGGAGTTTGATGTTGACGGAGAATCATCATGGCTCCCTCTGATCACAGCAGGCTTTTGAACCCTAGGCTGCCTTCTAATTTAATTTCCAGTTTTGTCTCATATAAGTTTCATCTTGGCCTCACGGATAACGTTATTTAAATGTTCTCGGTGAAAACCTTTTGAAAATACTGCCCAGATTTTGGCTTCAAGTGATGCAACTTTAAGGCCAAGTCAATTTAAATGATTGAATATTGAAATATTCAACTTTCCATTTGATTGAATTTTCGGTTGTACCAAATTCCCACAAAAGTATTCAGCTGCTTTGCTATACTCATTACACCTTGAAATATCTGTTTAGAATCTCATTTTGCAGCCAGCTCTCCGAGTTGGTAATGTACTCATATTATACTTGGTATAAGTTCCTGCAAATGTTGTCTGCTATAGGCTGGCCTTCCCAGCTTGACCGAATGCACAGCAAAGGCCCAGGAGTTGGAGGCAAATGGGGACGTGGAGTGTGTCAAGTACTACCTCCTATCCACTACGCCGGAACGAGCACTGGAACTGGGAATCAGCAAAATCACTGGTACATGCTAATATGCTGAGGGAAGCCTTGACTTAAGTGGAAAAGTATGCCTCAGACTTGGCACAGTTGTTTTTTTGTGCTGGAGTGATGGTTTGTTTGTTGCTGAAAGCTTCAAATTTGTCCCATAAACAGTGCAAGTGTATTAAGAGTAATGACAGTTTCTGGAGAGCTAATGCACAGATCCGCCAAAGAACAGCAATAGATCTGAGGGAACAAAGGGCAGAAATAGGAAGACCACGGCAAGCATCTTTAAAGAAACTGGTGTTTATCAACAAGTATGGAGTGATTTGTTTCGGATAAAAAGTGTATATTTTCATTGTTCTAGATAAAATGTGCGAAAGGAATTGGACGTTACAAGACGTGTTACCCATGATCACGCTACTGAGCAATATACGCAATGATGTGCTGTTACAGAAGAGCGCTACAAAGTAAGTGGTTAAGTACTGAACAGCATGGGGTTTTATTTCATGTGGGGTTGAGTTTTATAGAGGGATGTAAGTCGAGAAGGCATGCTGTGATTTAATGGTCATGGTATTGGCAAAACACTGTCCCTAAGGGTGTCTTGTGGCTGGCCGTCTGGCTTTGCTTCAGTTTAGCTCATCATAGAGATCAAAGGATCACCTGGCATTCCTTGGCTGTCCCTTAGAAGAATACTTCTTCTTCAAATTACCTTGATGAAATTTCAAAGTATTCACCACCCAAATAGTTACAAGGTTTTGCTCAAAATCAATATATAGTAAACCTCTGTTAAACAAGACAGTGAAATTACAAAATATTCAATGACAATGTCGTGAACCATGCAGTAATACTATACATTTCTAGTTCAGTAGTTTGTCACTATCAAAGTTGATGGATATTCCTGATTCCAGAGAGAGAACTGAGCTGTTGATCTTGAGTCATTACCTCGGAGCCCTGAGAGCAATACGTAGAGGCTATCATAGCATTGTGGTGCCCCTGCTTGAAAAGTCAAGGTAGGTCTATAGAACAACTTGACTTAGTCGTAGCAGCAAAGCGATTGCCACTTTGTCGTGGAAGTCAGCTGAGGGCAGTATACATGTGTATCATGTAATAAGCAATAAGCAGTGTGAGCCCATCATGCAAGTGCTATTAGTTATTACATGAGTGGGAGTTGAGCGCGAGCATGATAACGAATTTATCTTCAAGCAAACTTGCGGCGCAGTAAAGATGTTATTAGGGCCTATGCTCACATATGCTTGGGGCTCACAAGAAAAATTGGAGAGCCTACAAAGATATCACAGTGTGTTTCTGTCTTTGAATTTTCAGCATTGGAAAAGCTTCCAACTGGCTAGTACATAGAATATTAGTATAGCTTGGTATTAACATAAAATGTGAGGCTCAAGTGCTTAATGGCACAATGAACTCGATGCAGGTGCATTTGACTTAGAAAGGCCTATGGAACACTAGTGCCTAAGGCATTCAGAACACTTGGTCCTGCGCTACCTTGTACTACAGAGTACCATCTTGAGTTTGTACTGGGTGCAGTTGATTGTAATGATTAATTGCCTTGGTGGGAATTTTACTGGATTATTTGGACTCACTCTAGGAGCATGTTGATGAAGAAAGACCTGGACACGGAAGTTGATGTGCCTTTGACTGAGGAACAGGTGCAAAGTGAGCTGGATGCGTGGACAGCACAAAGGCAGTATGAAGAAAGGTACAGGGGTTGGTTACTTCCAGGCTTGGTTGTTTCCATAGCGTTTCCTGGTCTTCATGGCCGTCCATAGTTTACCTGTATGGTAACATGTGTCCTGTCTTGTTTCGAGAACGTCAAAACGGTGTTCTCTGCAGCAGATTAACCACTACCATTTTTTATAACTTTACGCTGCAAAAAATATCAAGGTCATTTTTTTCAGAAGTGCGTTCACATTGCTCTTTTATTTCCCTTTAAAAGGTGAATGCTTATGTAAACTTTGCTATCCGTATATTGATTTACTGATTCTTGTACTGGTTAAGGGATTTATCAATCATTTAACTGTAGTCACTATTGATCAGATTGATTAATTGTGCAGATAAGATTAATTGTGGAGATTAATTATGTACAGTAATCAGTAAGCATTATTCCATTTCTCAGTTGTCAATACATCAGTCACATACCTGTTAAGGCAGTCAGTCATTATAAAGAAATATCCTCACTTCACGGTCTAGGAAAGCAAGCTCCCCTGACACCAGGCCTCTCAGCGAAGCCCAGACAGCTGTCTACAATGTGCTCATCCAGCGGGTGGGGGCCGAGGAGACGGAGCTAGAATGTGGCATTGACCTGGTGGCCGGATCACGGCTTCCATGCCACTCTGATGTCCACATGTCTTTCCTGACGGGTGCCAGGATTCAGGTCAGTCATCGTGCGTATTGCACCCTCACTCCCAGGGATCGCTGTATTTTCAACTCCATGTTCAACAGAAAAAATTGAATACAAGACTTTCTTCCTGTATCCTAATTCAGTACTGCAACTGGGAAGATGTGATACATATTATGTATTTAGTTATTCCAAAGTGTATTTTATGTTTTAATGCTTTCTGTGAATCACTGCATTTACTTTCTTTCATAAACAATCCCTCGTAAAAAAATTCTCCCTCACATTCACGGCCAGGAATTACCATTGGCATTAGCTGGCTCATTGAGTTGTTTTCTCGAAAGCTGTCTTTTTTCCATCACATTTTTCTTCACCAGCTGTCCAAAAACACTGTAGCTGGTCCCAGTTTGAACGGTGTTTGTTCTTGATATTCCTTTTCAAAGTTTTGACATTAATCTCCTGGTTTTGATTTTTTTCCAGGGTCCTGTGTTTTTCCTAGAGGATGGCAAGTCTGCTATCGCTCTCAACGATGCCCTGATGTGGGCCAAGGTTAACCCTTTCTCCCCGCTGGGAACCGGTGCAACCATGAATCCATTCTGATGATGGGTACCAGCCATATCATAAACCTTCAGCCTCTTCATAAGGAAGGTGTGACAGAGAAAACACAATATCTCCTGGATGGAGATTTCTCCTCCTGACTTCACTGACTGACCAGGGCAATCCACAAGGCAATCTTGTTATCAATACTAAATACCACATTCTGTGGTTTTGTAAAAAAGCAAAACTGGCCTTTTGAAGTTTCCCTCAAGAATACTATGCTTTGCAAGAAACTGAAACCTTAGTGTAAATTATGCATTTTTTAGATATGAATCTGTTAAAAATTCCGATGACAGAAAAGTCACCTTTCAATTTTGGGGCAAACTTCAGTTTCACCCGGGACATTATCCCAGTGAAATATATTTATGTATCCTACTGATTAACAGTGTGCAAGATGTTTTGAAAGACCACTACTCATAGTTGAATATGACTCGCACTTTCTACAGCAGGTGACTGTCAGTGCCCAGTGTAATCTGTACACAGGTCATCTGATGCTTTGTATAGCCATCAACAGAATGCACAGTAATAGCTGAAGACACTCATAGAGTTAGAGATTGCCCACCTAGGCTTGGAGAGCTTAGATTGTGCAGTCCCGAGTCTGTGCACAGGGGGTCACGGGGTTGCATCTTGTTTGAGTTTTCTTTGTGCAACTGAAGATAGCTGTGGATTTGTTTACTGTGTGTTTGTTGTTATGTTGCATTTGTTTGGTTGCCTTGTGTGAAGTGACAGAACTTGTATATTGCAGCCTTTTGGGGGGCCAGAACTCCAGTGGCCAGTGTTTTTATTTGTGGTGAAATTTTTGTATGCCAAGCAGGTGCAGTGTTCATTTAGACTTACCTATTTTTAGCTTATATTGATGACAACAGACCAGACACCGTCATTCTTATTTGTTCATCTCTTAGTGGAGCTGGTATTAGAGTCATTGAACTGGTACTTCATCTAAATTTTCCTTGAAACTAAGAAAAGTCACTGTGTTCTTTCCAAATTATGAAACTTAGTTCTTTAGGTTACAAATCTGTTACCACGGTGACTGTGGCTATGCAGTTTTCTGTAAAATTTAGAATGTGAATAGAAATTCCAAAAATCGCTTTAGTTTCTTTTTAGAGTTTTGGGAACATTGTGAAATAGGAACTGAATGAAAAGGATGTTGTTTCAGTATAACATGAGATTAGGTAGGCAGTGTCCACTCACTGAATTATTTTACAGTAAACACGGGTAAATTTCATCCAGCTGTAAAGCAAATTCTCTGACCACTGAAAAGCTTGCCTAGTGTACACTGGCGAACTGCCAAGCTGTAATGCAGTCTTGCATTTGTGTGATTGGTATTCAGCTACTTTCTGCGTGCACAAATTGTCCAAATGGTGTTTCCTACTTGAAAGCAGCGCTGTGAGCAATCCAAATGGATTGGCAAAGTACC